AGTTGATTATTGGATAAATCAGGAAATCTTAAAGATTTGAAATGATCCCAACAATCAGGAAGTTTCCCTTGTAAGTTATTATATGATAAATCTAAGATTACCAAATTTTCAACAATTGTGCTTATTCCCTAGCTACATGAAAGAACAAATTTTGAAAAATTGATTTCTTGAAATGTCTAGAGCTCTACCCTTTAGTAGAAATGGCGGAACAGAACCTTAAATTTGATTTGAAGCCAATGATATCGTTGAGACAGTAATTTCAAGTGGCAAATTTGGAATTGTACCTATTAGATTGCTGGATTTTATTTGAAGTGTATCTACTACATCTAGAAGTCTCAAAACCACTCTGGTATAGAATCATTGATTTCAGTATGAAAACACATATCTCTATTAAATTATTTTGAGTGCAAAGCCATTTGGGTAATTTAGGGCCTAACTTACATCGTGATAACAACAATGATTTTAACTGGAAAGGTGAAATCCAATTGTTGCTGAATTTGAGGGTCAACAAATTAGAAGATAAGGCTAAGGCTTGTAACTTGGTGAGATTACCAAAATGGACATCACTGATTGTTCCATTTAGGTCATTATCAGAAAGGCTGAGATCCATTACATAATTCATGTATTTTCTGAAATCATCTGGAATAGGACCACCTAAGTGATTGTTGTCCAGAAAAAGGCTTGCAAGATTGGAGCTTATATTGAAAAGCCAAGGGAAGACAGATGTGAGCGTGTTTTGACTGAGACCAAGAGACACAAGAGAAGGAGTAAAATTTAAATGGAACAGAGTAGTTGATAGAATATTAATATCAGTCAGGCTACATTTTTCTAGGTATAGCTCTCTAAGGTTTGGAAGCTTCCCAATAATTGGTAACAGATTCTTTGAGTAATTAAGATTAACAGCCCTTAGGACAAGTGAAGTTAAGGATTGAAGATTGGAAAGCCACTCAAAGCCAACCGGCTGTTGTCATCAATTTTCAAATCAGCATTGTAGGCAATCCGAAAGTATTTCCAAGTTCGAAAGATTGCCAAGTTGGCTAGGAATATTGCCCACTAAGTTATTCACTTTTAGATGGAGTTCTTGCAGACTTTAAAGGTTTGCAAGACGAAAAGTTATGTTACCAACTAAGCCATTGGAAATGAGATTTAGAACCAACAAGTTTGAAAGTTTGCAAAGTTCAATAGGTATTTTTCACCGAAAGAAGAACTAGAGAGATCGAGGTATCTTAATTTGGTGAGAGAATCAAAAAATTTGAGGATTTACATTGAAATCATTGTAACTGAGATTGAAATAATTTAAGTTATGCAACTTCATTAATGACGGGCTAATCTCACCTCTTAAAGGCTGCCAGGGCTCATCATCACCATGAAGATCGAGCACCTCAGTGTGGTAAGTATGAGGATTACAAAAAACAGCACTCCATTGGCAACAATCAGGAGAAGAACCCCATGAAGATAAAAGACCATAATTGTCCACAAAAGGCTTGCTTAGCTTGTCTTTCCTTGTTGAGGCATCTGGCGCTCGCATCTGCAATTCTCCAACATGAACCTGCCATGAACAACTCAGCCTGCAAGTGGAGCATCACTATGATTATAAAATTTAGACAACTCACTCATGATGATTGCAGCTCATGCAACATGGAACTCAACTTAAACAAGTGCACTGCGTGAACAAGCCCAAGGCCTCCATTCCATACTGATAAATCCAGTGGCGAATGGAAATCTTAGAGTGATTAGTGAATTAAAATTAAAGTACACTTGATAATCTCTATTTCTTTTTGCGCTTATTTATTATTCCATTCCTCATATTACCGCCTTTGATTTTTTCAAATAAAAAGTTTTATAATTAATTAATAATAACAGGTAAAAACAAAACGTGTTATATCATCAAAAACTTATAAATCTTTCTAAAAGTAGGTACGGGGTTTCATGGAACCATCCCATCGATCCCACTTGGATATCAAGCCGGTAAAGAAAGGGATGAATATATTTTACTGTTTGTTCATATAAGTGGGTTTTTTTTTTGAAGCAACTTTTAATGAAAAATTGTTCCCAAAAGTAGATCCATCGTCAAGTGATATGCATGCATGCTTCACGCTGGGGATTAAGTAATCTTCCTTTAGCACAATAATTGCATGCGTGTAGGCCGTATACAAGTCAAGGTCTTCGGTCAGTATAGCGCACGGCATATATAAATATGAAAAATAACACCAAAACTATGCATCATTCATGTGCTTGATGTTGACAAGAAGTTGCAACCAATTCCCAGAAACTCAGACTCCAGTGAAACATAATCCAAGTTAATTAGGGTGTTATTGCCAATTAATCTCGATCATTATTACGAATTTATGGCACTGGAATTTACAAAATATTCAAAATATTAAAACATTGCAAATTGAACGACTCCATAATTATATATGCGCCTAGTTGGGTGCGAATGGAAATCTTGGCATGACTAATCAATCACAATTTATAATAAATGAACGTACATTGTAGGCAAAAAAAAAAAAACACGCACAAATGATAATTTTCGTTTTCGATTTTATTTATTAATCTACTAGACTATTCATAATTGTAAAGATGGGTATTATTGTATTCAAGTTATAGAAAAAAGTAATATAATTTTAAAACATTAAATTAATCTAAGACTATAGTTTTTTTCTCTAATTTGTTTTTTTTAAATATGCAGCATCTATGACGTGTTAATACAAACACGCACACTAACAAACTTTCTATTTATTTGCTACCTGCATGGAAAAAATTTTTTAGCACCTTGTCAAAATGTTTCTTCTTAAATTTTTGGCAAGTCGCTTTATGCTTCTGTATATAATTCCGTTATATCTATTAAACGAGGCATAATTAGATTATTTCGATAGTGCCTGTGTGTTTGTGAGAGTAATATTTTAAAAATGAATTCAGTATATATTTTTTAAAATTTAAAATTTATTTAAAAATGATATAGAAACTAAGAACAATATTTTATAAGCAAAAAAACCCCATTTTTGGAATTCACTTGAAATAGTTATAAAAATGAGACTACAAAAAAGGAAATAAAACTTTAACGGTTTTCATTGAGATTTGAGCTGCGCACTGGCTGTTGAGCATCATGAATGTATTTTATTCATTTCATATACTTTTTTAATTAAATAATTGGAAAAAATTTTAATCAAATACACCTAATATATACATACATATATATAAATATATAAAGTAATAAATTAATATTATTTTTTATGCCATACTCCGGCATCTAGTATATGGAAAAATTTACGTTCTTTTAAAAATAACATAAATTCAGTCAAATTAATTCACCATAAAATTAATTTCCACATATTGTCTTCCCAAAACCATTTACTGGATGGAGCTGCCGGTCATTCTCGGTAATTTCTTAATAAAATTCTGTGATCCAACATTTTTAAAACGCTTCATGCTATATTTCTTAATAATTCATTATTCAGCTGTCAAAATGGACGATTTTTTTGCCAATGGGTGGTCTTGATCTAAATTCGATATTCAAATTTCTGTTAGAATAAGTGTTCATATTTAGTATTTGACAGTACCTTAAATATAATTGCTTTCAATGGGAAGGTAAAAACAGATAATTTCCTTTCACAATCAAGTTTATTTATCTCCAAATTTGTTAATCGTAGTTATTTATTTAATCATAATTATTATATTATATCCAATCGTGTTATTTATTTAATCCTAGCCACTTTTAATTAACTGATAACAACCAATAACTTTGAAATTTTCTTACTATAAATTTTTAAGTCACTGAACAAATTTTCAAACCCGCCCTAAATTGCAAGGGCCAAGAGTTGTTCCCGTTCCTTCATAATTTATTGGCGTGATGATTGATTAAGGAAATTCAGTCAACAATATGCATAAACTCATATCACACATGTTTGCATCCACTCATATATATTTGGGTTAGCAATAAAAAATAAATCTTACAGTTAATAAATAATTTAGAAAGAAGAAACAAAATGCAACTAGTCTATCTGTAAAATAAAAATGACATGCAAGCAAATGATTTGTCCCTAATAAATGATTTTCGACTCAAGGTAAGTTGGATTGATCAATGTTGTGCGTGTGATGTTTGAACTTTGAGCCAACCTAGCAATTTATAGGACCAATATAGTCATGTGAAGAAGTAATATCTATTATTCCTCCAATCATAAATATAAGACTCTTTTTATACTGTAATTTATACTACTAAAAGGGTCTTATACATGAAGAGTATCATTTATCTCAAAGAATGCTACTTGAAAGCTAAGAATAAAACAAGAACAGCAAAAGCAAAAGTAGAGATGGTTGAAGGAATCTTCTAGAAACAGAGAACATCAGGGGGGAAAAAAAATTTTTTTTGGCAATCAGAAAAGAATTTAAAGCAGAGTAAAAAAACAGAACAACACGAGTTCATTACAAGAAATTGTTTATAATCTAATATATCAAATATATATAATCCTAGTCACTATTCATTGATTTATCACATCCAACGCTACAATAACTTCTTGTTTTATTCATTTTTTTCTCTTTTAGTTTCTCTAGTTTTAGACCAGTTCTTACACATTAAGGATCGGGTGGTAACTGTTAGGAAAACGTGGCTTTTAGTGCGGGGATAGTGTGTCCAAGACTCTTCCTCATGAGAAGAAGATCTGTGAATATATCTTGGCACTTTCTGAACGAGCTAACATGACAATTAGACCTGGATAATGAGGTTTGTGACTGTTTTGGTTTATATGGAAGATAAGTAGGAATGACTTCCAAAATAAAAAGACCAGGAATTATAAAAATGACACATGTCAATGAATTAGTTTTCTAGATAACAGTGTCAGAGAACTCCTAAATGTAATTAATTATAATGACGCCATTATGGGAGCATGGGATCACCCAAAAATTATAATTAATTTTCCTGTTCCTTTTGGGCCTAAACATCTCTGTCTCCATCTGCTTTATCGCCAACCTTATCTCCATTTACAGGGTACAAGGCTGGTTGAACTTAATCAGCCATTACCCGTTTATTGACCTATAGATATTTTCTTATTCACTGAAGGTTCCCTAACTCTGATACCTCGACCGTTCGAGGATCGAGCGCAACAATGGCGGGCGAGGTAGTTCTGTTGGATACATGGGCGAGCATGTTTGGAATGAGGGTTAGGATCGCACTGGCAGAGAAAGGTGTGAATTATGAGTATAAGGAAGAGAATATGAGGGACAAGAGCCCTCTGCTTCTGCAAATGAATCCGATTCACAAGAAAATCCCAGTTCTAATCCACAACGGCAAACCCGTCTGCGAATCTGCCATTATTGTGCAGTACATCGACGAGGTGTGGAAGGACAAATCTCCTCTTTTGCCTTCAGATCCACACGAGCGAGCTCAAGCCAGATTCTGGGTTGATTTCATTGACAAAAAGGTAGATTCTATGAATTGTTCTACTCACTATGCTTTCTGTTCACCTCATGTCAGCACCAAAATCTTTTTATATGTGAAGAGGAAACCTATATTTCATCTTTATATCTCTTGTGATTTGTGAATAAAAAGAATTCGGATTGATGGGGATGCAGGTGTATGAGACAATGGGGAAATTGTGGCTTTCAAAAGGAGAAGAGCACGAGGCAGCAAAGAAAGAGCTGCTAGGCATATTTAAGCTTCTCGAAGGGACACTTGGGGACAAGCCCTTTTACGGGGGTGACTCATTTGGGTTTCTTGATGTTGGTTTGATTCCATTTTCTTGCTGGTTTTACGGCTTTGAGATTCATTGCCACTTCAAGATGGAAACAGAGTGCCCTAAACTCATGGCCTGGGTGAAGAGGTGCGTTCAGAGCAGAGAGAGTGTGTCCAAGACTCTTCCTGATGAGAAGAAGGTCCATGAATATACCTTGGCCGTAACCAAGGTGACGACTGGAGCTTGAATGAATAAAAAGCACTTTGTGAATGGGCTAATATGACAGGTTAGCCTTGGATTATCAAGTTTATAACTGTTTTGGTTTGATCTATAGTAGTGTGCTTGCTTGATTGCTAAGACTTGAGGCTGTGAGTTTGGGGCCACTTGGGTGTGTCTGCCAGCTTTAATGCCTTAATAGGAAATCAAATTATGTTCTTGTTTCTGTAAGATCCGAACTAAGTGAAGTAAATAACACCCTTTTACCATTGTGATTTTGGGGTGAATCCTTTGTGATGTTTCTGTTATTATTCTTTCATCATTTATATAATCTCTTAAAATGAACTTTGGATTCCTCACTGTATTGTGTTTCAAACGAAGTTCGGATTAAGGATTCCAAATTGATTTTGGGTGTAGTGAAGGGAGGACTCATGCCTTCCAAAATTTCAGAGTCAAGAGACATGGTAATGAATTGAAGGGGCCTCCCCGGTGTTGTCATTCGTCAAGTAGGACTTCATTAATAATAAGAGAGAAGGGAAAATGAGGTAGTGTCAATTTTTCCTTTTGAGATTTTTTTAATGGCCAACTACATGACACACATACATACTCATGAGTTGAAAATTAAAAAAAAAAAAAGAAGAAGAAGAAGAAAAACCAAGTTGATGCTTTTGGAAGCATTAGTGCGAAGCATTTTCAATTGAGAACTTATTTATTTTTATTCTTCAGTCATTCTGTTGGTTTATGTAGTTATAAAAAATAACACCAAAACTATATATCATTCATGTGCTTGATGTTTGCAACCAATTCTCAGAAACTCAGACTCCAGTGAACATAGACAGAGTTAATTAGGGTGTTGTTGCCGATTAATCTCGATCCTTATTACGAATTTATGGTATTGGAATTTACAAAACATTAAAAACAATAAAACATTACAAATCTAAGGACTCCATAATTATATATGTACCTAGTTGGGTGCAAAATATTGGAAATCTTGGGCTCTTAGCATGACTAGTCAATCATAATTTATAATAAATGAACGTGCATTGTACCCAAAAAAAACAAAAGAAGTACGTGCAAATGATAATTTTTTTTTTCGATTTTATTTATTAATTTACTAGATTATTCATAATTGCAAAGATGGGTATTATTGTTGCTGGTAAAAAGAAAAAAAAGATGGGTACTATTGTTTTTTTTTTTTTTGCCAAAGGTACTATTGTATTCAAGTTATGGAAAAAAGTAATATAATTTTAAAACGTTAAATTAATCTAGAACTATAGTTTTTCTTTTTTTCCTCTTTAGCAGAATTACAATTGAAATTTCAAAATTATCTGATTATCCGAAGGTCAGTTTGTTTTTTCAATAGACAGCGTCCATGACCTGTTATATACAGACACCCACACTGACGAACTTTCTATTTATTTGCTACCTGCTTGGAAAAACATTTTTTAGCACCTTCTCAAAATGTGTTGTTTAAATTTTTGGCAAGTGGCTTTATGCTTTTGTATATAATTCCGTTATATCTATTAAACCAAGCATAATTAGATTATTTCGATAGTGCTTGTGTGTTTGTGAGAGTAATATTTTAAAAATGAATTCAATATACACTTTACTAAATTTAATATTTATTTTAAAAATGATATAGAAATTAAGAACAATATTTTATAAGCAAAAAGACCCCATTTTCGGAATTCGCTTAAAGTAGTTATGAAAAATGAGATTACAAAAAATGAAATAAAATTTCAAGGGTTTTGATCCATACTACCTGCTGACTAATAGAGCATTATGAATATATTTTATTCATTTCATATACATTTTTATTAAATTATTGTAAGCTAAGGATAAGAACAGCAAAACTAGAGATGGTTGAAGGAATCTATCATAAACAGAAAGCATCATAAAAGAATTTAAGCAGCTTAAAGAAACAGAACAACACGAGTTCATTATAGAAATAGTCCATGATCTAATATATGAAATATGTATAATCCTAGTCACTATTAACTAACTTATCACATCCAACGCTGCAATGACTTCTTGTTTTATTCATTTTCTCTTATAGTTTCTTTAGTTTCAAGCCAGCTCTTATGTGGCTTTCAGTGCAGGGAGAGCGTGTCCAAGACTCTTCCTGATGAGAAGGTCTACGAATATAGTACCTCCAGTCCTTAATATAAGACCCTGTTTGACTTTTTATTTAGTCCTAATTATAAGACCTCAATCCATTTTTTCTTTTATATTTATGCATGTTTTTCCAAAATAGTCCTTCTAATAATGATAGTTCTAACCAATACACTTAATTAGCAAGGATATTTTAGGAATGACAACACTTATTTATTACAAATAACTAACTTAAGTTACTTCCTTAATCTCCTCAAATAAGTCAACTGGGTCTTATAATTAGGACCGAAGGTAGTATCTTACTACTTCCTTAATCTCCTCAAATAAGTCAACTGGGTCTTATAATTAGGACCGAAGGTAGTATCTTACTACTTCCTTAATCTCCTCAAATAAGTCAACTGTTTTGGTTTGTGATGGGCAGTGCGCTGCCAGAAAACCTCGACTCTGTTCCCCATTTACAACTATGAGGGCTTTCAAGATTTGGATAGCATTTTAATAGCCCTTAGCTTTAAGATCAGGTTATGTGTTCTTCCTGAAGTTTTTGTCATGTGTGATAGAGAAGAAAGAAGGGTGGTACAACAGATTTGGAGAAATGGTGCATGGATCTGATTGCGCTGAATAAGAATATGAAAATCTTTCTATGAGCACCACCCGCCTCTGTTGACTTCTCCAAATTCACAAATTGCATATAATAACTACTCGTAGTTCTGCTCATGATTCGTCATAAGGTCTAATATAATTTCTGAATATAAGTAGTATGATAATAAAATTCATCACAAAAGAAAATTCATACCGATGAAGGTTACGATAAAAGTACAATCCCAATACATGATTTCAAAGCTAAAACAACTAATAAAAAAGAACCATGAGGTACAAGTCTGGATGCTATCCTTTTTTTGATTCCTGTGTTTAATTAATTTCCATCACACTACACGTCTACTTGCACAAGCTATTGTATCACAGATAATATTGCAGCCGCTAATATATGACGCATGCGGCCGAATCTGATAAAGAAGAGTTATACTCGAGCTGCTGCAGATAAATCCCAAGCTGACAAGCTCCAACTGATATGATGACAATCAGTAACAAAACAATTAAATCTTACAACTGATATACTCCTCCGGTCTTTAATATAGGACCCAATTCTTGAGTTGGTTTTAATCCTAAATATAAGACCCATTTTTCATATTTATAAATTTTTCCTAATTTATCCCTATAAATACTCCCTCAACCATAATCAAGTAGAAAAGGGAGAAGGGGTATTAAGAAAAATGATTATGGTGTTTTAGGAAAAATGTGTCACTTTTCTTATAATTAACTAACTTATGTAACTTCCTTAATCTAATCAAATTAGTTAAATGGGTCTTACATTAAGGACCGGAGGAGTATCATTTAGAAAGAAACACAAACTAATGTAAATCTTTTTTTGATAGACAACAACCTTAATTAAGAAAATATTACCTTTTAGTTGCGGAGCCGCCTGCGCCATCTTGCCACAAGAAGCACTGTTGTCACATAGATAGAGTCTGACACCTTGTCGACCAAATTGAAGTAGGCATGCCTCCATGGTGGAATAGCCAACACTGATCCAAACACTATCCAAAATTCAACAGCAAATCCCACGCCCAAGCTTTCATAGAATCCTTTCAAAAAAGAGTTGTCTTCATCAGCACCTTGGGTAGCTTGAGTTGCATTCCCTACTGGATGATCTTCAGAAGGACAGAGCTTGTCCAACGGCCTCCCACAGAGGTAAGGATCTCCTTCATAGCTGGAGGGCTCAAAAGATTGCAATTGTGTTCCTATTGGAATTTGTCCTGTCAAGTTGTTGTTTGATAAATTTAAAGTGTTTAGGGAAGATATTTCAACAAGACTTGAAGGAATTTCTCCATCAAAATGATTTCTTGATAGGTCCAGAACTTCTAGAGATTTTAGTTGTCCTATCTCTAAAATGATTTCTCCACTCAACTTATTTGATGATAAATTCAGGAATCTCAACTCGACCAAGTTCACAATTTCTATTGGCATTTCCCCCACCAATTGATTGTGCGAGAGATCAATATTCATAAGCCCATAGCGATCACTGTACACTAATTCTCTTCCTTTCCACACCATAGGCAACTTCCAATCAAAAGATTCACTTGCTTGAAATTTTCCGTTCTCAAAGAGGTTGATGTCACATTCAGAAACATTTACAACATATTTTTGAGCCATAGCAACCAGCTTATTGAGGCAACTTGGTATTGGTCCTATAAAATTGTTAAAAAAGAGATCCAAGAATCTCATCCATGATGGTGGTATTGGTCCTAACAAGTCATTTATTTCCAAATCTAACATTTTCAGTTCAGTTGCATTTTTCAAGGATGGTAATCTACCACTAAAGCAATTGTTTTCCAAAACTAACTACTTAAGTTGACTTAAGGATCCTATAGAGTTAGGAATCCTTCCTAAGAGTTGATTATTGGATAAATCCAAAATTTTTAAAGATTGGAAATGATTCCAACAATCAAGAAGTTCCCCTAATAAGTTATTGCTTGAGAGATCTAAAGCTACCAAATTTTCAACAATTGTACTTGTTTCCTTGCCACACAATTGAACAAAATTTGAAACTTGATTTTCTGAGATGTCTAAAAATCGGCTGTTTAGTAGGAACAGTGGAATAGAGCCTTTAATTTGATTGGAAGCCAATGATATGTCATAAACATTAAATTCAAGTGGCAGATCCAGAATTACACTTGTAAGATTACTAGATTCTATTTCCGATGTGCTCCCTTTCCAAGTCTCCAAAACCACTCTGGTATAGAATCATTGATTTGAGCATCAGAAACATATAACAGTTGTAAATTAGTTTGAGTGCGAAGCCATCTAGGGAATCCAGGGCCCAACTTACAGTGTTGTAACCATAACCCTTGTAATTGAAATGGAGGAATCCAATCGGTGCTGAATTTGGGGGTCAATAAATTATCAGATAAGTCCAAGTCTTTTAACTTGGTGAGATTATCAAAATGGATGTCACTGATTGTTCCATTTAGCTCATTATCATTAAGGTAAAGAGCCACTAAAGAGTTCATGTTTTTTCCAAAATCGACCGAAATGGGACCACCCAAGTGATTGCGGGACAGAGAAAGGTATGTGAGATTGGAGCTTAGATTGAACAGCCTAGGGAATAATGATGATGTCAGCTTGTTGTCATAGAGATAAAGAGCTAAGAGAGATGCAGAAAAATTCAAATGGGATGGAGGAGTT